TGTGCCTCGCCTGCGACTTCTCCGGGAGAACGACCCGAAACGTAATCAGCCGAGAGGGAACTGCCACTGCCGGGATAAACAAGAGGCGCACTCGGGCTGAGGAACAGGCGCACTCGGGACGACTAAGAGGCGCACTCGGGCTAAGGAACAGGCGCACTCGGGACGACCATGAGGCGCACTCGGACTAAGGAACAGACGCACTCGGGACATCTAAGAAGTGCACTCGGGCTGAGGAATAGACGCACTCGGGACGACCAAGGCGCGCACTCGGGACTTACAAGAGGCGCACTCGGGCTAAGGAACAGACACTCGGGACGACTAAGAGGCGCTCTCGGGACGACCAAGGGGCGTACTCGGGCTGGAACGGCGCACTCGGACGACTAAGACGCACTCGGGCTAAGAAACAGACGCACTCGGACGACTATGAGGCGCACTCGGACGACCAAGAGGCGCACTCGGGCTAAGGAAAAGACGCACTCGGACGACAAGAGGCGCATCGGAGGAAAAGACGCACTCGGGACGACCAAGAGGCGCACTCGGGCTAAGGAAAGACGCACTCGGGACGACAGAGGCGCACTCGGGCTAAGGAACAGACGCACTCGGGACGACCAAGGGGCGGACTCGGGACATATAAGAAGCGCAAGCGGACTGAGGAACAGGCGCACTCGGGACGACCAAGAATCGCACTCGGGCTAAACGAACCGGAGCCTATACTAAACAACATGCGCACTCAGCATAAGCAATAAGCAACTCCCCCCCCCCCCCATCACCCCTCGGAGAAGCAACAGCAACTTCGCCACGGACCCGAACCCGAACCCCTTCGCGACTGCCATTCATATCGTATGCAAGCTGAGGCGGGAAGGTGTGGCGGAATGTACAGCGGATGGAAACGCAGTCATAGTTCTTCGTTAATCTTATGAGGCGTCTTGACTGCGACGAAGGCTTGCGTCTTGAGGAAAGTGGATGCGAGTCTTGTAATTTTTTTTTTTTTTTTTTTTTTTTTACCAGAAGGGCTTATGGAGTTGTGTTTTGGCAGGGTTTACGCGTGTGGTTGTGGTTGTTTGTGTGTGTTGGTGTTTGCGTGAATTTGTGTGTGTGTGTGTGTGTGTGTGTGGTGTGTGTGTGTGTGTGTGTGTGTGTGTGTGTGTGTTGTGTGTGTGTGTGTGTGTGTGTGTGTGTGTGTGTGTGTGTGTGTGTGTGAATTTGTGTGTGTGTGTGTTTGGTGTGTGGTGTGTGTGCTGTGTGTGTGTGTGTGTGTGTGTGTGTGTGTGGTGTGTGTGGTGTGTGTGTGCTGTGTGTGTGTGTGTGTGTGTGTGTGATTTGCGGTGGCGCGCGCAGTGTGTACGTGGCGCGTGCGTGTGTTACGTGCGCGTGCGTGTGTACGTCGTGTGCGTGTTCCGAAGGATCGGGTGAGTCAGTGTGTTTCCGGATGACCGTCGCCATTTTTCGTACACCGCCATTATTTTCTCACCTTGGCATGACGCATTAACCCGCCTCGAGCCTAACGACGCTCCTCCCCCCCCTTCGCACCGCCCCACCGAATCGCACCGACCTCCTTCCCCCCTTTCGCATCCTCCACCGAATCGCACCGACGCCCCGCCCCTTCGGCAACCATCCCACGAATCGCAACCGGACCTCCCTTCCCCCCACTTTTCGCATCCGCCACCGAATCGCCCGCCTCCCGCCCCCCCGCTTTCGTCGATCCCCCCACCGAATATCGCAAGCCGACTCCCCCCCCTTCGCATCCCCCACCGAATCGCAGCACCTCCCTTCGCCCCCACCTTTCGGAATCCCCAGCCGAATCGCACCGACCTCGCCCCCCCCCGCTTTTCGCGATCCCGCTCACACGGAATCGCCACCGAACGCTCCGCCCCCCCCCCCTTTCCGCATCCCCGCACGAATCGCACCAGACCTCCCTTCCCCCCCTTCTGCATCCCCCACCGAATTCGCACCGACCTCCCCCCCCCCTTGTCGCAATCCGCGCACCGAATCGCACCGCGCTCACCTTCCCGCCCCTTTCGCAATCCCTCACGCGAATCGCGCGAATAGTTCCTCTCCGTCCACCCGAATCCCGACGAATCTCGCGTCGCAGCTCCCTATCCTCGATGCCCCGACCCGACCATCCGGAAGCTGCATCGCTCATCTCATCTCCGACGTCTTCACGGAATCATTGCTCTCCTCCCTGTCTCCCTCTCCCCCCCCCCTTCTCTCTCTCTCTCTCTTCTACGCACCTCCCGCCGACCCTCACTCCTCCCTTCTCCCTCTCTCCCTCCCACCTTCCGTAAATCCCATCGACCCTCCCTCCTTCCTCATTCCTCTCTCATCCATTCCTCCTCCTTCCCAGTCATCTCCTCCTTTCCCTTCCCCTACCCTTCCCCTCCCCTTCCTTACTCTATCCCTTCCTCATTCTCTACCCAACCAGAGATCCCTACTTCCCTCCCGTCATCCCCTCCTCTCCTTCCCATCCTTATCTCCTCCCCTTCCCCTCTCCACCACCTCCCCCCTCCACACCCCCCTCCCCTCCTCACAATCACCCGAGGACGATCCGCAAAACCCGCTCCGAGATAAATAAATCTCTTCTCAACTCGTCCATCTCCGGGTCGTGGATAACTCTCATGAGACAATTTGGGAAACAGGTGCGGCATTGCGTGCGTCGGCCGGTGGGGTGGGGGGTGGGGGTGGGGGGCTGGCGTGATGGACGGGTTTGCGCCGGTAATTGAGAGAGGTAAGATTTTTTATTTTTTTTTTGAACATTCATTTTTTTTTTTTACATCATTCATGTTTTAACATTTCTTTTTTTTTTTACTTTCATGACCGACGGGGAGGAGGTGCGAGCACGGCAATGCGCTTATGGGAGGGAGCAGGGGCATTTTTGCAGGGCATTTTGTTAGGGTATTTAAGGATAACCGGGAGGAATCTAAAGTGACTGAAAGTAATGGTATTAATAAATGATCATAATAATTCATGTAGATGTAGGTGATTGGTGATGGATGATGATATGGTGATTCAGATGATGGTGATCGGATGATGTTGATGATGATGATACGATGATTGTTGATGATGATGAAATGGGAACGATGATGTTGATGATGATGATGATGAGATGATGATGGTGATGATGATGATGATGATGATGATGGTGAT